GAGTGGGAGTTTACAACAGCAAGGAGGAACTACACGAGGCGCAAAGAATCTCGCAGTTGAGGACACTGGGCACCACCGACAACGAAAGGTGGCTACCAGATACGCTGGGAATGGCGGCTCCCGAGGCACCCAAGACCGGGGGGGAATTCGGCGGGGGAAGGGGGGGGGGGGGGAAGTGTTGCAAAAGGCCCCCAGGAGACGACCTTGCCCTTCTAAACCGACCGGCACGGGTGAACGCCCTGGAGCACTGTCGCCAGGTGGCTTCGGTCAGCTGCGCCCTTGGTACACGGGGACGAAGTCACCCTCTCCGAAGGATCATCGAGTTGACTCACGCCAGTGGGTGGTTTGAGGTGGTTAATCCGAATCAAGACTGCATGTATAAGCTAGCTGATCGAATCGAGTGCTCGAGTGAGGGATCACGGGAGCGTTGCGTTGCAAGCCGCTAGGCAAACCGGAAGCCTCTGAAACAATCGAAAGGTCACGAGGTTCGCGTTGTCATCCTTCGACACCAGGTGCCGCTACTGGTCGATCCGAATTCATGTAAACGCAGTGGGTGAAGTGGATCCGATTCGCTAACTGGACCGATACGCTGCTGTCGCTTCCATGTAAACGTAGCCACTGGCTACGTTTACATGGATGCGACTGCAGCGCATTGGATCCAGTTAACGCATCGAATCCGTCCATGTAAACAACTCGGAGCGGATCGGATCCGATCCGATCCGCTGGGACGGGGTGGTTTGAGATGGTTAATCCGAATCGAGACTCTCCATGTATACGCTAGCCGATTGGATCGAGTGCTCGAGCGAGGGATTACAGGAGCTTTGCTTTGCATGCCGCAAACCCGACACCTCGGAAACACTCTGAAGGTCACGAGGTTTGCGCTGTGATCCTTCGACACGAGGTGCTGCTACTGGTCGATCCGAATCCATGTAAATGTAGTGGTTGAAGTGGATCCGATTCGCTAACATGGATCCGAAGCGCTGCTGTCGCATCCATGTAAACGTAGCGACTGATCGAATCGGATCCGATCTGAGCCGTTTACATGGACCGATTAGATTCGTTAACTGGATCCGATGCGCTGCAGACGCATCCATGTAAACGGCGACCCGACAGCCTTGGGACGCCCTCAACAAAGGAAGAGGCTTTACGCACCTTTCCCAGCTTAGATAGCCCATTGGGATAATCCCATAACGCACGGAACTATCCCCTAACGCGTGTGGCAGTGTATGTGAGCGAGGGGAAGGGCATACCTGAATGTTATTAACAATAGCCCCAGAGTTTCGGTGAAGGCCTGAACCCTGGGGATTCCCTGCTAGAAATGTGGGGAAATGTGCCATTATAAAAGGAGCAGCAGGCGACTGCTAGCGTGTGTTTTCGAAAGTGTTCTCTCTAGTGTTGAACTTGTTCATATGTATATTAACAGAGTTATACGAGACACTCCTCCTGCTTCCTGGTCCTTTGCGATTCCGGCTTCCAGATAAGATCCTGCCTGGCTCAGCTCCCTGCCGCACACCAAGTGCCCGGACAACCACTCGGTCCCAACAGGGACCGAGGAGATGGAATACCAGATACGACAAAAGTTTACAATAGGGCGAATCCCACGGAACATGCATCCGACGCAGGACGAAGGACGGTGGAAAGCGCGGACTGCGCAACTCGCTCACTTGAGAAGGGACTCCCTACGTGGACGCCTATGGTCCTGCGAACGGTGTAGCCACGATCGCCATGGCAAAAGCTGCCGGAGATGTGATAAGAGTGGCCTCGGGGCGGGTGGACTCGGTGGAGTGAGCGGAAGAAGTAGCCATTGCCCTCGCCGTCAACTGCAACTCCAGAGCCACAGTGATGACTGACTCGCAGAAAGCCTGCCGGAATTACGTTCAGGGTATCCTTGGACGGCCAGTGCTATTCATTCTAAAAAAAAAGCCAACAAATTGGGGATGCATGTCATTTGGGCACTTGGACACATGGGTCACAAAGGAAACGAGGCGTTTAATGTCCCCCGGAACTCGTCTCCATGCCCTGAGGGTCCATCCCCAGACATGCCCTATAACACGTACTTTGCGACTCAACGTCAAGCGAGGCGGCAGTTTCCACTACCGAATAAGGGAAACAAAGAGGAATAACATCTCTGGAGAAGACTACAAACGGACACGATCATCATACCAGCAAAACTTTACACATGGTATCCAAAACGCTTTCACACGCCGAGATCTTCCTTCTGCGACGCAAGACGGGCCGACGTGCATCACCTAGTATGGGTATGCAGTCCTTACACCAATTGAAGAACCTTCGACAGAGAAGTGGGAAGCAGGATTGCGAAGCGAGAATGCCGACAAGCAGCACATGCTTGTAGGAAGTGCTCTCGCAGTCACCACTGCAATTGGAGCCCTAGACTAAGGGCACCCACCTATCTTCTCTACCACTTTACTTCTATGTCCCCCCTACTATTCCACCTGCCATTAAACAGAGTCCTCAACAACAACAATTAACACAGGTAATCAGGGCTTAAAGTCTGGGGAACCTCAGGGGGTCTCGGACCCCTTACTGATTTTAACGGATGGTCTGAGACCCCCCCTCCACAGCCCCAGTATCAGTGAAATCAAAAGCATATCTTGCAATAAAATAGCTTATTTTCAGAAATCAGACATTTGGGGATTAGCAATTTGAGGGTTGCAGGTACAGCGTGGGTAGATTCAGCAGTGGGGTTTATGGTATGTGCATCTAGTACATCTCGTAAACCCCCCCCCCCCCTTTCATACTTCCTACTTACGGGAGACTTTAAGCACTGCAGGTAATACCTTGAACTTCAACACACGCATGGAATGCGCAAAAAAGATCCATTGGCCAATCCTTAGGGAATACATTAGCATGACCTTTGGGAGCGCCACACACGGCACCCTTTGAGAGACGCTAACGCCAACCCCTTCAGGTTCCTGTTATGGCTTTCTCGTTTGCTTCCTCCATTTTTCGCTGCCTCTTTTTGGCTTCGTTACGGGGTCAGTGTTAGCGTTTCCCAAAGGGTGAAGTGTGTGGCGTTTCCCAAGGATCATGTTAACGCATTCCCTAAGGACCCACCAATGTATCTTTCTTTAATTTTTGGCCACCTACTTGGACCAGCGCTAGTACTTGGTTCACGCTCCATTTTGTAGCGCAAATCAACGCATGCATGCTGCGCACACCTGCAAGTTGAGACTTGCCCCAGCATCCGCTCGAGCATTGGCTTCCGTCCAGTGACGTCGCCTCTTTCTCGCCTTTGTCCTTCACTACTCTTGTCTCCCCGCGGCGCGCTTCCCTTTCCACTGTTTTGTCCACAGACGGACGCCGTCAGCTTTTCCCTGTCATGTAAGTACTGCTCACGCATTAATAATAAATCAGGGCGATGTTCGAGAACACAAATACTGAAAAAGGACCACTGTAGTCGAGGTAAACAAACACGATGGCACGAGCGTTTCTATTGCCTTGAGGGTGCCTTCACGAAATCGCCGCACGAGTAGATGGACCTTCCCTTCTAGGACGTGCGGGTTTATCACCGCGAAACACGACCAGAATTTAGTCAATGATAGCGTTCTACGCGGAACGATGAGCTTCGACCACGCCGACGATCATCACCGACGCAATCCTTTTCAGCAGATAGCAGGAAACACGACCTGCATGCAACGCGCGCGGCCGTGCTCCCCTCGACGTATGATTGGTCTGTCGGTGTGGTCACTTCATTTGTTCCCAAACGTAGCGAAAAATTTCAGCCCGGCTCAACTCCTTGCGGTGCGAACCAACACGAACGAACGGCCTTTTGACGCTTCGTTGCCCCGGCAACTTGTCGTTCTAACCTACTGCACTCGTTTCTATGCCTAGCAGCCGCTCTGAACGCAAGTACAGGGTTTCACAAAAGAAAATTTACACAGTCTTTTTTACTGAAAAAATAAACTAGGCATCGCCGAACGCTCATTCTCCGCCCAAAGGTAGAGCTAGAGGTCACAACCAGATGTCAGAGTTTCAGCCCGATCTGATAACTTAATCAAAAGTTATAAGTGATTTTCGAACATTTCAATGGGAAAATGGAGCCCATTTCTGCCCGTTTTCGGTTTCTGGTGCCCCATGTGTTTGAAAACTCCGTCGGCCGCCATTTTCCCCATTGAAATTTTCAGAAAATTACTTATAACTTTTGATTAAGTTATCGGATCGGGCTGAAACTTTGGCATCCGGTTGTGACCTCTAGCGCTAGCTTTGCGCGGTGAATGAGCGTTCGGCGATGCCGAGTTTATTTTTGCGGTAAAAAAGACCGTGTAAATTTTCTTTTGTGACACCCTGTATATGATCTAGCTTGACTAACGAGTCACATCCAGGTCGACGGACCACACCGGAACCGGATTTTCGGCTGCGGTATGAGTTTCCTACAAATCATACGATAAAACGTTTTAATAAATAGATCGCCGCCCTAAAAATCGTCTTCAGTGAAAGTCCCGTGCTCTCAATCAGTTATAAAGTATCAATACTATTATTATACTCGCTCGAAACATAGACGCATCCAACATAAAGGGAACGGAGAGAGTTGTGCTATAATGGCGGCGATTCCATGATTATACGGTCGTCAGTTTCAGAACATTGTGCACCCATGTCAGAAGCTTTTGCGTGTGCATTACTCCGCGCGGCCCTTGGAACACCAGTCATAGGCCCTCCTTTATTAAATTTAAACAAGTCAAGGGCAGGCGGTGTTTAACCCCAATAAGGAGAGAAACTGAATTAATGAGAGGAGATGAGAGCATGCAGTGACGTCAGAGCGCCAATCTTTGATTGGAAGGACCACTGACTTGGCACTGTGACGTCATTGCATGCCCTCATCTTCTCTCCTTCAGTTTTTATCGGAGCAAAAAACCAATCGCCCTCCTAATTACTTAAATTTATTGAAGAAAGACCAATGACTAGTGTTCCAAGTCTATTGTGGTGCAGTATGCCTTCAAGGACTCCTGAGATTGCACGCGGCACCACGCATGCGGATCGCGTCAAGGAAACAAGCATGTACTGTCACGCGAAGTCATCGACGAACCGTCGGTACACGAAAAGACCTCGGCGAAGGTCGGGTTGGCCATCAGCGGCTCGTTGCACAAGGCCTCCGCGTCGCTGGGATCGTCCCTCGAGCACAGCAGGTAGCAAAGCGCGAGGAAGAAAGTCTGTTCCTGGTTGTAGTCCCGGAGACCCACGAGGCGAGTTTTGTTCTGCTGACTCGTCGTTTCATTGAACGCGTCCCACAGAAAGGTTAGGGACGCCGCCCTGTACGCCTTGATCATCTGGTTGCCGTGGCGCCCCATGTGCTTCTGGTAACAGCTGAGCCGGCGCAGGAGCGCCTTTTCGGGAGCGGGATGCCCGATCACTTTGTCCAGGAGCAAGCTGAAAACGCCGTCGGCGATCAGCGAGCCCAGAGCGCCGAACTTGACAGCCGGCGGTACCAGAGGATCGTAGGTCGGGAGGGTCAAGGAGTGCGTGGGCATCAGGATAGCGCCGTCATGCACCGAAAACGGCGGCCATGACTTCCCGGGCGCGATGTACCTGACCTGGTCCGTTCTGCTGAGCTTGAGAAAGCTCAAGTTGCGCGCGCGTGCGTACCGCACAATCTCGATCCAGTTATCGAGGAATATCGAGTTCAGGTTGGGCAGTTCGATGAGGGCGGATGCTTCGGCTTCAAGTGCGGAATCCTGGTAGTCGTGCGTGACGCCCAGTTTCGCCGGCAGTCGGTTCATGAAGGGACCCAGCCAATCGCTTGACGAGATCCGTCCCCTTAGGCTGCCGTATACGCTTTCGACAAGATCGCGGGTGTCGTTGGCAACCTCCGGATCCGGCTTTAATTTGGCTTGATGAGCGAAGAGGGTCCAGCCCAGCAGCATCTCCGTCAGTTGCAAACAGTCCCAGGGCCGAGACTGTAAAGCGGCACCGAGGTCCCCGAAGTGGTAAAGCACGGCGAACCTTTTCCAGGTGTAAGGGGACAGAAGCTGGACCAGTGCCCATCCCAGATACAGGTGAACGGCCCTGTCGCCCTGCTCTGCCAAGAGGCTATTGAAAGCCATTAGGTATTGTACGCTGCCCACGTGAATCTTGAGCGACTGGCCGGTCACTAGGCCTAGTTCTGTTTCGAACAACGTCCGCCAGCGCTCGAGGCTTACGTGGTACGTCAGGTTCGCCAGGCCGGCTAGTGAGAAGACGGTGACGGCATCGACTCTGTAGAACTGGTCGCCCAGGTAGCGGAAAACTGCCGCCTCGACCTTGCTGAATTCCTCGAAGCTTTGCAGCCCAACGTCGTGTGGAGCTGCCAGGTGGTCGCGGAACTTGCCGTGGTACTCCTCGTAGTTGCTGTACCGGATGATTTTCTCCCGTCTTCGCTTCATTTTCAGGACTTGGTCGCAGGGCCAGAGCAACACGGCTGTGTGGTTCTCGTAGTAACGCTTCTCGATCACGAGCAGAATGGACAGGTTGAGCTTGATCTGAAGTCTCGTGATAGACTGCAAGACGTCCGGATTCGAGGAGGGGCTTGGCCACTCCAGGAGCGTCCCCCTCATGATATCCGCCATGGACGCGGACTCCTCGCTTTGGGCCAACACCTCTTCGCAAGACTGAAATAGCTTGGCCACCTTCTCGAGTGGGCTTTGATTCTTCAGCTGCGGGCTTGTCTTCCTCAGAAGGACCGTGACGTGGTCGAGGTACTGCTCCGCCATAACAGATCCGAGGTGGTCGCGGGTCCAGCCGTGACACACGTGCTGGTAGAAGTTGTCGCAGGGCTTGACGACCGGGTTGAGGCTGTGGTTGACCAGGTGACTGTAGCGCGAGCAGGACGGAGACCGGCACGTGGCGAACGAGTCGTTACGGGAGGTCGAGATCCTGAGGAGGCTCACGAGCAGCAGAATCACGACGACGACGAACAGGGAGAGACAGAGAAAGCCGATGGCCTTGAGCAAGACCTTCTTGCCACTGGAATCCCAGTGAGTATGCGAAGACCGCATCATTTTCCCGTTGTCTGTGGCGGCTCTCTTCTGAACGCCGTCGTGGTACGTGCAAAACAAAAACAAGCAAAATACAAGATGATTTTTGTTTTGTTTACAGAACAACCGCCCTTTTCTGTTTCCCACACTCTTAGAAGCTTCTGCATCGAGATGCAGTCAGGTCACACAGTGAGAAAGGCGATCGGTGTCATACTCCAATATCTATATGCTGTCTCAGTGGCAAAAAGAGTAGACACCTCTTTGGCCGTTGAGGCTGCGTGATCTGCAAAAGGGTTGAAAGCTTGGCTTGTTGGTTGGGCTCTAGTTGGCAGTACTTGTCTGTGGCGTGTTAATTTGTTCTCCTCATCTTTTGTGCTTGCCATTTTAAAACTTTAGTTGCAGGACTTTGCAGCGCGAAATCTCGCACTGCAGAATTCAGGGACCTTGGGCCCAACCCACAATCCTGCCCATTTAGATCTGGACGGCCGCCGTGTCGGTATACGGTGGCCGGGACTCACCGCGTCCGTCCTTTCTTAAGATGTCATTGACTGCTGTAGGGTGATTCCTCGTCAGTTCATGCAATAATGGTCCGGGTCATAATTTAGATGTTTTTGCTAAAAGTGTATATGAAATCTATGTTCTTGGGAGGAACATTCAGCTATATATGAACGCTGCACCATTTGTTTTCGCTAAGATATAAAATAGAGAAGCTCGAGGCTCTCACGACGCTACTTTGCACAGTCGTCATTTGCTCATCGAAGCTTTCACATCACCATAACTTTTTTAATACATTTTGAAAAAGATATACAACACATACACAAAAAAGGAAAAATATTAATAAAACATTTCTATGCAAACAAAAAAATCAAACATAACATAAAAACGGGTTTTAGAGGCATATTCACAACTTTTTTTTGCAAATAAACCATTTTTCATAATACCTCACAAAACATATCAAAATGCGCGTGTATAAATATTCTTTACGAATGTGTAAAAAGTATAAGCCCACCATTAATTGTATTTTAGTTATTAACGCGGAAACGCAGCTGATTTCTCAAAATGTGGCAAGATTGGGCGTCGATATTTAAAAAAAAACTCCTTCATTTATTTATTTTTTTAAACCTCCCTTGGCACTTCTCAGTGACTTAAACTAGCCTGTGATGGCAAAACATTAAGTAACATATGACGTCCGGACGGGAAAAGCTACGACAAACCTTCACTCGGAGTGACCCGAAGTCTTCGTCATAGCGGCTTTGCCGGATAGCACCAAATACTTTGAGCGTTAGTTTTGGCATGTATCTTATATTCATTAACTCTTTCTTTTTTTTTTCAGAAGGGGTGAGTGTAACGGTCGCGAAAAGGGACTTTAGCTGGAATACCATTATTTAGCTTACAATTCACGAAAACAAAACGGCCCCACTCTGCAAATTCGCTAACCATGCATACATAAGCTTAAAACTCTCAGTTGCGCAAGTGGCCATGTATGCATCCGGCTTTCCCAACCGCACTCAACAAAGTGCGTTTGGAAAAGCTACTGGTTCCCCGGACAGTGAACGAATCTGACCTTTTATGCCCACATTGCTCCAAATACCTCAAGAATGAGATTACGTCTCCGCACAACGTGAGCACATCAAACTCTTGTTTCCGGGACTCTGATGAAATTTTGGCTGAAGTGAGCAAAGACTTGTGTGCTGCTAGTCCGTCGGTAACCCCATTGAAACCACTTAAAACCATAAACAAAAAAGGCGCGAAGCGTATTTCAAGAAAAAAACGAACTCAAGTGAGTTCTTCGATTAGAAGAAATCTGTCAAGCGTTTATGGCTTGAAAAACGGCGAAGACAGTTGTGCGCACTGCACGGATTGGTTTGACGCGTTCCGCGAAGCGCTGAAGGCATGCAGTTTCCACCAGGAACGCAAGCGACACGCTTCCGCCACCAAGCATCTTGAAAAAAGAAATATTGCGTCTGGTGCCAGAAGCGACTGCCAACATGACTGATCAAACAAGAAAATTGAAGCGTAAAGCTGGTGTATGGGCAACCCCTGATCCCTACATGGGAAAAAAGGCGAATGCCGAAGACGTGAGGGTTGCACTTGAGCACTATACACATGCGACGACCTCGCATGCTCTGTTCAAAGCTTCAACAAAAAGGACGTCGTCAAAGCCATGATCAACGACAAGACCAAAGTCGGAAAAATGTTTATGACCCGCTCTATTAAAAAAGCTTACCAGCTGTTTAGAAAGGACCATTCCCATCGAGAACTAGGCATATCCAAATTTTATTCCCTACGACCAAAATGGGTAAAAAAGAGTCCCGAGCACGAGGTGTGCGCATGCATATATTGCGTCAATTTTCAGTTGCTTTTAACGGCAATAACAAATGCCTCAAAGAAGACAGTTCTTAAAGACGACCTCAAGCGCATCTACCTCTGCAGCGCTCCACAGAACGATTGCTTCCTGCTCTGTTGCGAAAAGTGCCCAAAAAATGCAGACCATCTCGCTGCAGTCGCTCCATGTCGACGAAGACGAAGAGATCTGTTTCGCGTTATGAGACGCCGGCGAACTCGTCAAAAAGGTTATGGACACTTCCGCCTTCCTGTGGGAACTGGAGTCTCTTACATCCGTGGTCTTCAACAAAGCCTGATACGTGACACAAGAACCGCCTTACCACCCAAGGCAGTGATGTTCCACTTCGATTTTTGCGGAAAATTGGACAGTAATCTTCCCAACCGAAGTGCAGAGTTTTCATTGGAAAAAAGCTCAAGTGCCTCTCTTCACATGTGTGGTTAGGTCCACGCAAGGCACCCAAAGCTTTGCCGTTGTCACGATGACACGACGCATGACACAGCTCGCGCTCTTCTAGCCATAGAGGCCATTTCAAGAATCGCTTCCCATTGCACGAACTATCTCGGAAGCCGTACTCTTCGGCAAGATGGATCTTTTCAGTCACTGGACACGAAAAAAGCGCTTGTGATGGAGTATAGATGATGTTTTTAAACACCACGCAACGCTCACCAACTTGAGATCTTCGCTCGACTCAACGATTGTCACCGCTAAAGACTTTGTGGAAATGCTACGTGAAACAGTACAAATGCTTGCATGTTCCACCTGTCTGCGGAACGGGTTCGAGAGTTTCGTGTGGTGAAGCAAGCAGAGTGGACCACCGTAAAACCTGTGAAAGGAATCCAGGCATCTCATCTGTGGAAGTCATCATATGCCAGAGGCCGGATGTATACATGGCCACTTGAGCAACTGAGAGTTTTAAGCTTATGCATGCATAGTTAACGAATTTGTGGGGCCGTTTTGTTTTTGCAAATTGTACGCTAATTAATGGTATTCCAGCTCAAAGTCCCTTTTCGCGTCCGTTATACTCATTCCTTTTGAAAAAAAAAGAATTAATAAATATAAAATATATGCCAAAACTAACGCTCAATGTTTGGTGCTGTGCGGCAAAGCCGCTAAGACGAAGACGTCGGCTCGCTCTGAGTGAAGGTTTGTCGTAGCTTTCCCCTTTTGGAGGTCATATGTTACTCAATGTTCTGCCATTAAAAGTTAGTTCAAGTCACTGAAAAGTGGCAAGGAAAGTTTAAAAAAAATAAAAGATGGAGTTTTTTAAAATATCGACGCCCAATCTTGCCACATTTTGAGAAATCGGCTGCGTTTCCGTTTTAATAACAGAAAGACAATTAGTGGCGGGCATATAACTTTTACATATTCGTAAAGATTATTTAAAGACGCGCATTTCGACATGTTTTGTGAAGCATTATAAAAAATATATTATTTGCGAAAAAAAAAGTGTGAATATGTCTCTAAAACCCGTTTTTATGCCATGTTTGATTTCTTGGTTTGCATAGAAATATTGTATTCATATTTTTCATTTGTTGTGTATGTATTGTATATCTTTTGTAAAATGTATTAAAAAGTTATGGTGGTGTGAAAGCTTCAATGTGGAAATGACGACGGTGCAAAGTAGCATAGTGAAATCTTCTCAATTTCCTCGCCTCAAGCTTCTCTATTTTATATCTCAGCGAAAACAAATGGTACGGCGTTCATATACAGCTGAATGTTCCTCCTAAGAACATGGCTTTCATGTATATTTTTTAACTAAAATATCTAAACTATGACTCGGACCATCATTGCGTCAACTGACGTAGAATCACCCAGTAGTAGTAAACATCGCGACTAATTGCTACCGCTGCAACTTTCAACACGTTTCGGGTGTGGTGAGCACGTTGACAGGAGATATATATATATATATATATATATATATATATATATATATATATATATATATATATGGTGTTTCTTTTTTTCTTATTATTTCAGATTTGTTTATTAAAAGCCATGAAAGCTACACTTATGCGGTTTGTGCAGGTGAGTTATACGGCAGGGGGGACACAGTATAGGGAGATAGTCGCAACTACCAGTCGGCTAATTAAGTAAAATTTGTTAATTATCTTTCTAATTATTATGAATAAACATTAAGTTATAGTTGGAAACTTGCTGAGCATCATCGAAAACCACTAGATTAACTCTTTTTAGAAGGATATAATGCTGGGGCAGCATTTTACGCCGTTCTGTAAAAACGCTCCATTTGGACGCGTTTCTAGATTCCGGTTGCTTATCGGAGCGCAACTACGCGCCCGCGGTCCTGCTCCCCAGTGGCTGAGACGCGCAACACACGTGCGCCCCACTTCCCTCCATTCTACGAGGGAGGCGAGGGTGTGGCTTCGCGCCGCGACCACCGGGGAGCAGGACCGCGGGCGCAAAGATGCGCTCCGATAAGAAACCGAAATCTAGAGACGCGTAGAAATGAAGCGTTTTTACAGAAAACCGTAAAATGCTGCCCCGGCGTTATATCCATACAAAAATAGTTGATTTAATGGTTTTCAATGATGTTCAGCAAGCTTCTAGTTGGAACTATATGTCGATTTGCACTAATTAAAAAAATATTTAACGAATTGTACTTAACTAGTCGACTAATAGTTGCGACTACCTCCCTATGCTATGTTCTCTTGGCCGTATA